AGGAGAATCGACTAGCTCCCAGCAGGAGAATCAACAGAGGCCAACGGCCCAAACCAAAAACACAATCCTAAACAACAAAGACAAAACACAACAAGACATAAAAGACTAACCAACGACGACAACAAAAACAAAACGAGCCCTTCCAAAGGGGCAACACCGAACCAGACCGGCAGAATCAAGTCGACCGTGGGACCCGCAGCTCGAAGCACCAATCCCGAAACTGCCAAAAACCACTCGGTTGCCTAACGGAATAGGAACCCCAACCCCGGACCATCACCTAGCCAACCATCACCGCGGCCTTAACACCAAATGCACACGAGCAAGAGAATGTCAAGGCCCAGCCCCGACCCCCGACCCGCTTGGAGACTGCCCAAAGCCCTCCGCACCGCCGCGGCTCCACTCCGACCAACACCACTGGTAGAAGAAGAACAGACGCGACGGCCCCACCGACCCCGAACCGCGAACAGGGGGGAGACTCCTTGAACAGCCGCACAGCCCAGTCCACCCGACAAACTGCCGAGAAACCGAGCTCGTCCCTTCCCAAGAACCGCACCAAAGCTCCACCCCCACACATCGGAGAAACCATCAACCTTGAATCAAGGACCGCCGCCGGGAGTGACGAAGACCATCCTCGAAGGCTAGGGCTAGCTCCTGCACAAAAAGAGGGATAGAGCGCAAAATAGAAGGAAGGGATCCAAGCAGCCGAGAGCCGGCAACCGCCGGCGGAGCTCGGAGGCCACAGAGGAAGGCAAGCAGGCGGCGATTCAAGCAAAGGCGGCAGAGAGAAATGGGAACGAGGGTTTGAGAGAGAGAACAAATTTGGACCAACGTTGAATTTTAGTTGCTATTTCAAATAAATATCATTGCCTTTTTATATATTAATAGATATGATATTTGAAAAAGTAATATATGGGTGATCTCCTCAATTAATGTAGATCATAATTATAATATAACAACTAGTTTTTTTATCATGTGCATTTGCACAAATATAAAACATATTTTTGTTTGTATTTAAAAATTAGACATGTATTTCTATCGCATAAAAATTATTACTTTTTCTTAAGTTATTTTTATCATTCAAAGTTAATTGATTAAATTGTATTTTAACCATGCAACGTTTACATTAGTAATATGAATAAAATAATTTATATATTTGTGGCATATATTAAGAAAATTAACATAAATAAAAAAAATATTGGTGTTTCTGATTTTTAGAAAAAAAAATAAATATGTGTCAATCATATTTTTTTCTTCCAACAATGCAACTAAATATAACGATTACAACTCTGGATGTGCCAATCAACTTTAAGTTCCAACATTAGTCGTTACACATTTGAATATTTTGATACCAACTTTCGAATTAATTTAGTAACTGATCTAAAAAATAAAAATAAAAATATATACATTAAGGTGTAACGGTTTTAGCAGATCCACCCTATATATAATTCCAGAATGCGCTAAGCCTAGGTGGCTGCTTCTGGTGCTTCAAATTCCTATTTGGCGAAGAATCATGCTTCGTAATTAAGTTTGGATAAATAATATTGGTATATTAATAATTAATAATCTAGGTTCGAGTTTTCCATAAATATTATTTAGCTAATTTAGGTATTTTAATATCACTTTTACTAATATAACCCTTTAATTCTTTGTAATTTTACATAGTGAGGCACTAAGTGACTAATATATCCCTGAATTTTGATTTGTTTCCTTCAATAAGCTATTGAATTATAAATGTATTTTAAAAGTTGATAACTTTTGTATTTTTTATCGGTTTTACATATATAATATATCAAATTAATTATCTTTTGATGATCTTCGATTTGACATCCATATTGTATATATATATGAAATAAATAAATTATATTTATCTTTATAATAAAAAAATAATAATATTTATTGAAATTCAGTAGAAAAATAAAATTATTTTTCAATGGATATATTTATATGTAATGTAGTTATATATTGTAAGTTTAAAAAAATTAGTATAATATAACACAAGTAAGTTGCACAAATAAAAAGTGTCATAATAAATATATAATAATATATATATTCTTATAAAAGGTATTTAAATTTTCAAACTACTTTTTCTCATTAATTTTAGATTTTAAGAAAAAAATTAGCAAGCACCCGTGTAATACACGGGTGTTGTACTAGTTAGTTAGTAATTAATTAAAGAAAATGTAACTCCTTTTGGAGGGAAATGAAAATAATTTTTATTAAATATTTTATTAAATGCATCAGTTAGTAATTATATATATATATATATATAGATATTTGGAAATAACTTTCAAGGATCAAAATTAAATTGGCTAATAATAGTTATGTTATACATTTATAATTTTACAAATATAATTAAATGAAGAATTTATCCTTTTAAATAATGATTACTTTATTAGTTATTCACTTTTTTCTTTTTTTTGTATAATTTAGTTATCACTTTATTAGTTATTCATTATCTGTTGTAAAATTTATTTATGATTTCTCAATAAGAATTTAACTTTTGTATTATCATCTTTTATTCTACATTTTTTTCAAATACATCTTTAGTACACGGGTGCACTAGATATATGTATATATACATATATATATATATATATATATATATATATATATAATAATATTATTATTTAAATAAAGAAATTCATATAACTATTCTTTTTTTACTTTTATTTTTTTCTATTGCATTTTGGTAAGTTTTCCTTTACCATCCATGGTGGGACTTTTTTTTACTTTAGGTAATGTGACATGAATAATTGATCTAAGTTTATTGATTAAACTTTCTTTAATTTTGTAACCAATTATTTTATTTCAACTTAATCTGCTTTTGTTTTATTTTAATTGATCTGATATAAATAACTAAATTGAAAATGTGCAATAAAAATTAAAAGTTAATTATCATAAGTTAGTATTTCATGATACTAAAGTTATTTAAGAGAAAAAAATTATTTTATTGATTAAACGTTGATCAGTTATGGAGCATTATGCAAAATGTGAATTGCTAAAAACGCTTAAGATGAATAGATTTCATATATTATCTTAAATATTTGATAATAAAATATTTTGCACGCGTTGCAACACTAGTAAATAAAATAGAGAAAAAAAACTGATCCAAATTGTCGTAGCGGTTGGAGGAGGGGATTTATAAACCCTAATTGCATTGTACTTTCCAATTACTCTCTCTACCGATATACAGCCTACAGTCCTATACACAGACAAATACACATCACATTGATCTTTGTTTACTCGGTTACTCGCCGCGTACAATACCAGTTGTCAGTGTTTCGCCGGCCGGTGGCGTCTGTACTGCCGCATGTTGGCTCGCGCTTGTCGTCGGCGACCATGGATCCGCTTCTCGATGCTCTCAATCAAACGCTTCCAAAGAACATCTGCCCGCCGGACGCCATTGTTGGAATCATGCGCGAGTGGAAAGGTATGGGAGAGAATGTGCTCAAGTCTTTATTTGATTACGTTTCGGATATCGAGTCTCGTGAGCAAAAACTCGGCGCTGTTAGAGACTCGCTCGAGCGACGGCTGGTCGATTTGGAGGCGAGGGAGAGGGAGTTCGAGTTGTTTCGAGAAAGAGAAAAGCGGAAATCGGAAGAGGAGATGGAGTTGAGGGAGGAGAAATTGGACGAGCAGCTGAAGTTGGTGCACGAACACATCGAGAGCTTGGAGGCGGCACAGGCCGAAGTCCACGGCTTGCGGGCGATGGAGCGTGAGAAGCTGAAGGAGATTGAGAAGAGGGAGATGGAGTTTAGTCTTTTCAGAGATGAAAAACTGAGAGAGATTGCTCTGAAAGAGGAGATTTTGAGCAGGAAGAGGGTAGAATTTGCTGAGGATGTTCGATTAGAGAATGAGAAACTTAGTGAGCGGGCTGAGTTGGGCCGTAGCGTGATCGAGAAGTTGGGATCGGGTACTAGTATGCTAGAAGGGATGAAGGTGAGGCTAGATGAGAAGTTCAGGGAGATAAAGTCATGGGAGGCTGTGGCCCACAAGTCGTTGATTGTCATTTTGAACGAAGCTGATTCAATTCGGGAGTCAATGGAGAAACAGTTGACCGAGCGTGACGAGATGGAACAAGAATTTAATATGTTGCTCGAGGATAAATTGCAGAAGTCGGAGGCGAGAGAGCGGGAGCTCTGTATTATGAGGAAAAAATTTCTCATGGAAATCAAGTCCAGGGATGAGAAATTGACGGAGAGGTGTAAGGAGATTGAGTCTTGCGAGGTTAATGCCCTCAAGAGTTTGAATGAAAGTTTAAACGAAGCGAATTTACTTGGAGAGGAAATGGAGAAAAGGTTCTATGAGTTTGAGGAAATGGAAAGGGGATTTAATTCAATCCAAGATAAAATGCAAGAGCTGGAGGCTAAAGAGAGACAACTTAGAAGTTTGAAGACACAGTTGCTTAAGGTGGTTAAGTGGAAGGATGGAAAATCCACTGTGGTGCAGAATTCGGGCCATGGAAATTTGGTGAGTCTAGAGGATGTGTTGTCTAAGAAGCTTAAGCAGATTGAGTGCCTGGAAGTGTCCCTAAATGCTGGTAATGCACGATTGCAAGAAATTGAGAATAGGGAGAGGGAATTTCAACTATATGAACAGGGTAAAATGAGAGAATTGGCATTGGCAGAGGAAAAGTTGAGATTGGTTGGGAAGGAGTTTATTCGGGAGGTCATGTTAAGAGAGCAGAAATTTGATATCCAAGACAAGATGGTTCATGGGCTTCTACAGAGGTTGGAGTTGGCTCAAAACCATGTCAATGAATTGAATAAATTGGTCAGCAAACGGTTTAAGGAGATTGGTTTTAAAGAGACTGAGCTTAATTATAAGAAGGATTGGGTTGAGAAGAAATTGGCTGAGTTGGAAGTCAGAGCGAAAGGAATGAAGGAACAAGAGAAGAGAATTGAGCTATGTGAAATGCCCAAGGAAAAAGGACTTGAAGGGAAGAAAAAAGAGGCTGAGTTGAAGAAAACAAGTTTGGAACCGGAGTGTTGCCCGAGAGGAATAGAATTGAAGGTAGAAGAAAATGGTCTGCTCAACGAGCGTGAATTAAATCAGCCACATGGTCCCTGCTCGAGAGGTCTACCAGACCCCTCGAAATTTGATGTGCAGATGGATGGGAAAACTTTAGAAATGCTTCTAAACAACTCTGAAAAAGACTTGGAATTGGTAGGAGCTGAAATGTTTAAAGTTCTTTTTCTGTCTTCTGACCCGGCAAAGTTAGTTCTTGATGCAATGGAACGATTTTATGTACCATGTTTGGGTAAGCGGGATTTCAAGTCACATATGAGGAGAAAATGTATTCTTCTGCTCGACCAGTTAACCAAAATGTCACCAAGTATTCAGCATAACATTAGAGAAGCTGCAAGTAAACTTGCTAGTCGGTGGAAGTCACAAATGATTGTCGCTGAAAACTCATTGGAGGTGCTGGGATTCTTGCAATTCGTGGCTGCTTACAATCTATCCTCCTGTTTTGACAAAGATGAGCTTTTGAGTTTGTTGAGGAGGGTAGCCCTACATAAACAGACACCTGAGTTGTTTCGCATTCTTGGTCTATCCAGGAGCATTTTTGGTAGCTTCTGTTCTTTTTGCACCATTTTGATTATGCATTTTCATAACATGGACGATATATGCACTCGCCTGCTATGTTTCTTTCTTATTATTAATTTTACTTTTTTCTGGAACAATTTCCCATTTTCGAAAATAAACAACATAATAATTATCGGACCTGAATGTTGTCTTATAACATAAGAAGCAAATATTTGACTTCACGCATTAGATATTGATCCCATATGACAGATTGTTTATGTATTTTGAATTCACTTGTGTTAGCTAATTAGATGTAGCAAAATTAGATTTATATCATTTTGTAAGGCCAGAACAACAAACAAATCTTCTTTTTACTCATAAATGCAACCCCAGATTTGGTTTCCAGAAGATGACCTTTGCCTTTCAAATGTGTAGTTTATTTCACTTTGTTGTAGTATATGCTCTTTTTAGATTGTGCTTGTCCTATTCAACTCTCAAGATACTTCGTCTTTTGTGCAATAGGTTTTATCAAGAATCTAATAAAGAGGAAAAGGCATCTTCTTGCAAGCACCTACATCCATGAATGTGGGCTCGAGAAAACGTTTCCTCAGGCAGTTCTCCTAAATGGATATGTACAACATGTGAAAGCTAAACACCAAACTGAACATACTTGTCCAAATGCACAAGTATGTTCCTCCTTTCAAAAATATTTATATTTCTACTTGTATTTTACAGTTCAAATTAAATTATAAATTATTGACTTGGGATCTACTAGTTTTCTTGGAAGTAAATGATGATTTTCTCATATATGACGTTATATCATATCAGGAAAAGGCTATTTCCGGTGAGATAGCTGATCTGCAAGTGGCAATCGAACATATTATCAAGCATGGTCTCGAATCTGAATACTCGCCTGCCTTTCTAACAAGTAGGATAAAGCAGCTGGAGGGGAATCGGTCGAGCATGAGAAGCAGACTGGCACTATCGACTGATGCACAAAAACCGGAAAGAAGCAAAAGATTTGGTCAAAGTCAAACTCCACACGTCTTTAATGAAAGAAATGCGCACGATGAACATAATGTGGCTGTGGCTCGAAATCCTTCATGCCTCGCAGAAAACGGGTCTCTCCATCTCAAGAGGCATATAAACGATGTCCCGAAGTTCAACTCGCATGCGGTTAGCAAGAAGCAAAAACTGAATAGAGGGTTGGGCTCAGAAGGTGGGAGCCATTTAAGTCATCTTCCTGAGAATCACAGGTGGAGACGTTATTTTGACCCCTAGACAAGAAATATAAAAGCAGGATCAATTTGAGCCCATTTCAAGTTTTGTTGTACATAAATTTCTCAGAAATATAGTGGGCCGTTGTTTTGTTTTATGAATGGTGTGGTGCATTTGCTTCTTCCTGTTGTTACAAGTTAGGAATAAAGGACGCATATTCATAAATGCTCTGTTATTATGGTGTGCTTGGATACAAATATATCCGCTCAAAGCGGGTTTTTTTGTTTAATCATGGTTAATTTTGAAATAAATGGTTAGTACGATTTTGAGTTTATTAAAAAAATATTTAACATAAAATAATTAAAGATGATTTGATGTAATAGTATGAGAGAGATCATGTGAACTGATGGTTAGTTAAATTTGTGTGAGTAGGTGAATAGTGAATTAAAGTTGATGGAATGTGTAGAAATGAATTAGTTAAAATTGCGTGAGTAGATTGATAGTGAATTAAAGTTGATGGAATGTGTAGAAATGAATGAGTGATAATATTTAATTTTTATAATATTGAGAATACTTAAGTTGGGTTAAAATTGAATTAAATTTTGAGTATTAATTAAACTTTTAAATAAACAAGCATTTAATGTGGTCGCCATGGTGTTTAGAGGTAGTAAAAGTATTTTTGGTAAATCTAATTGAAAGGGGTAAATTAACTTAAAGCTTATAAGTTAATTTCTAACTTATAGTTCATTGTTTGTGGTTGAAGCGTTAGTCTATATAATAATAAAAAAAAATAGTAAAATTAACTGATAAATTGGTTGAAGTAAAAATTTTAACTACCTTTCTCGAAAAAACACTAGTGAAGCTTATGACTCATGAGATAAACTCGTTTAAAAAAATTATTCTACTAAATCAAACTTATTTAAATACAAAATGTTTATAAGTTAGCTAAATAAGCTATAAGTTAATTTATGGTGCTTGCTAAATAAGTTAATTAAATAAGCTACAAGGTATTTTATGATGCTTACCAAACGAACATAAGTTCAGTCCAAAACTCATCGACCAATGACTCAAAATTTTCAAGGCAAAATATTTGAATCCTGAAGGTGGTGTTTGGACACCAATTTCCTAATCCATTTTAACCAATAAAATAAAATCTAAGTCAAACTTAATTCAACCCAACTTTAATCAATATAATTAAATAATATCAATCAAACATTATCACACGTTACTTTTGGTTTACTATTCATTCACTTACATAATTTTACCCAATCATCACTTCAAATCAGTTCTATTCTCTTTCACATCAAATCAACTTTATCATTTTATTTTAAATAGTATTTAAATATAAAATCAAAATCACATTCAAAGTTAACTCAATCAACTTTTTAACTCTGATTAACAAACAAAAAAAAAAATATATGTTGCCAATCAGAGAGGATGAATCATTTGGGATCAAACAAGCATTTCCGAGAGACGAAATCTCATTTTCATTCAACAAAAAATATCTGAAAAGTGTTCTATTACAAAGTGAAGAAGAAGATGAACGTTATATACAACAGTAACAAGCGAACTAACTAGTTTTATTATTATTTTTTATTTACATGTAAAATATAATTTTCAATGCATGCCACCCGAGTCAATGTGTTATTTTTTATTTATTTTTTTAAAATAAACCGCCGGAGGGTGGGGGTTTAGGTTGAACCCCTAACCTGTATATATAAAAAGACCCTAATTGGCTGAAAAGTCACCAATCTACAGTCCAATGTCCAAAAATCAACATTTCACATAAATGAGAACAAAAAAAACAAGAAAAAGAAAGACAACAACAGCAAATAACACCAAAAAATCTGATCCTGGTCCGAAGGAGTCCAGGCGAAGAGTCAACATCACGAGGGAGCAGATGCACCAAAAGGTAAGGACCGACTACCCAAATCGAATGATGAGTATCCCATCTGGTCCATCCGTATAAGAGTACGGAGGTGGAGAGGAATATCGCTAGAATGAAGAATACGTCTATGGAAGAAGGAGGTCCCGATGCAAGAAAGGAAATCAATAGGCCGGTTCCCTTCACGGAATATATGTGAGATCCGATAGCGAATCGACTGAAATATGACTCTAATCTGCATGAGTGGATGTTGAATCTGCCAAGTGCTCTGATGGCCAGAGGTCAAGAGTGTGATGAAAGCGGTAACTTCCAACTCAATCCAGACGTGAGAGGAAATCGAAGCTGCAATCTGAAGACCGGTCTTAAGCGCCTGAATCTCCGCGTCATAGCTTGAGGAGGCCCGAAAAAGGGCATGTGAAGCGGTAATGAGGGCGCCGCTATGATCCCTAATCAGGCCCCCACCTCCGGCGGCTCGAGTAAGGTAACAAACTAGTTTAAACTGCGAAAGGACTTAACTAGCCTCAAGCTAAAAACATACAAAACACTGAGGACATATCTAAAGAGTAAAAACAATTTCACTATATTCAACATCCCTCCTCAAGCTCGGATTTGATGAAGATCGACAAGGCCAAGCTTGGATCACAAAGTGTTGAAACTTCAATTATATTTGGATCAAAACATGGTTGCTCTTACTAAATTGAGTAGTTGTTTGTGTTTTCTCTCAACTACTTGATGAAGATTGACAAGGCCAAGCTTGGATCGCAAAGTGTTGAAACTTCAATTATATTTGGATTCAAACATGGTTGCTCTTACTAGATTGAGTAGTTGTGTTTTCTCTCAACTACTCATTTTTTCATTTTTCCGAGGTGTATAAGGGCAAGAAGTTTGATGTAATATGCCTTGGCTGGTAAAAATTTTTTGGCACTCTTCATTTAGGAGTTCTGTACCATTATCAGTCCTAAATTGTTCGACAGGAATGTTGAACTGCGCACGAATCATTTTGATGAATCTTGAAGAATGTTAGGTACTTAGACTCTTGTGTTTCAGCAAATAAACATGAATCCCTTTACTATGGCAATCAACCAACAAGTGTGATAAAGTGAGATGAATTGGTAATGTTTGGTGTGTTATATGGTCCCCGTAAATCCATATATGAACCAGATCAAACAAAGACTTAGCATAGAGTTTCATTAATGGAGAATGATAATCTTTGATTGTTTTGCTTATGGCAAGCAGTACACTGAGATACATGGTTTCTTGAGTCATTTTTACTAAAGGAACTCATCAAATTCAGGTGTTCAAGAACAGAAATGGATACGGAAAGAGTAAGGGACGATAACTTTCACCAAATCGCTACTCAATCTCTTCCAACAATGCTTGAGCAGAATCAGCATATAAAAATGCATCTACCAAATCCTTACCATGAGAGTTGAGAATCCAACTATAGATCGTATAGTCTACAATCTCAGACTTGTCCAGATGACTAACCAACCAGTAGTTGAGTACAAAAAGACACTAAAAGCCGTTACACGTACCAACACCACAAAATTTCAAACAAAACAGAACCGTAATATTTTTTCACCCTCTCAGCAACTCAATAAGCTCGACCTTTTTCAGCTTCGAGTATCCTTTTAACCCACGAGACTTGGCAAGGGCCTTCAACTCGGGCAGCTTCTTTCCACTCAAATCGCCAACCTCCACCCGGTTCTCTTCTTCCCCCTGGACGATGTCACGCTCGTCTTCTTCATAAACCCCAGATAATTCATCCAACTCATTCCCTTCCGGAAACAGAGGATCCACATCAGTCTCGTCTGAATCAGATTCGGATAGCAACTCCTCATAAATCCCAGATATTTCATCCAACTCATTCCCTTCCGGAAACAGGGGACCCGCAGCAGACCCGTCTGAATCAGACTTGGATAGCGCCTCCTCCTTTGCTTCCGGCTCCAAACTAGTCATCCCATTTACTCTCTCCAAGTTTTCGTGCGAGAATGAATTAACAGAGCTCTCGGAAAATACAGGCTGGAATTTTATTCCAGGGACGGGAGACCTCCTCTGGAAGCTCGATTTGGGTCGGCTAAGATTTTGCCTCGTTCTTTCTTGCATCTCATCCTTCTTAACGTGATCAGCGGGCTTGGGTGACAGGTCATCCTGTTCTTGCTGATTGAAAGCCCGATCATCAGCACCAGAAGTGGTTTTCTTGCCTTGCTGGACTGACTGTTGCCTCGAAACCTTGAGAAGTGAATCGACCCTCTCGCTCCATTTGGTTTTTTCTTGCGAAGTTTCGATTTTTTTCACTGCTTTCTTCAGGGCTGCTCGTTCTCGAAGCTGGACCTGAACCTTTTTGAATATCTCAACAATTTCTTTTTCTCGCGTACCCGGGGTGGCGGATCTCCAGTTTGAGGAGGATGGTACGAAGGGCCCGTTTTTCGAAGAGAGAAAAACTTTATGCTTGCTTGACCAAGGCTTTTGCCAGCAGTTGTTTGGACTCGTCTTATCTACCTCGTTCATGAACTTGCATTTCAAAGATAAGTGAGTTTTGTTTGAAATGAGCTTGTAGCTAGCATGGGATGAGTTGGGTGGCAAGCTGAGGGCTCTCCCGGAAAGTCCCGAGCAGGAAAGATATCGGTCGTTGGGCTGCCCAGATCCTGCAACAAAATAAAGCAGTAGAAATGTATTTCTTCAACCATGGATCTTAACAAGTAGAAAAGCTTCCATTCCTCTCTCAATAATTTCCTCAAACAGATAACATGCATCACTCCTTACACATGGCTAAAACCCCCCAAAAACCCTCAAAAACTGTCCAAATAAAACACGATAAGTTTCTATCAGACACTTGCAAATTACAAACCCAGAAAAGTTGTAGCAATGCCTTCAAGCGCCGCGTTCTTGCAACATGTGTTTTACGCTTATACATCAACACCTAATTATGTGTGTGTTTTGTGTATTACATATGTACAGAAACACACTGATTAGAATATTATATTAAAAAAAAAAAAAGATATTTACCAGCGATGCTTAAGGAGATAATATGAATCGAGCGCGACATGGTTGAAAGCTGGGAGCAAGCTCTCCAATGGCGGTTCGCGGGTTCGACTTGAGGATTGATACGATATATGGGCCTTACTTGAATGGGCCGACCTCCATACAAGCCCAATTATGAGGCAGGATTTTCCTTTTTCTTTTTTTTTTTTTAAT